GGTTCAGTTAAAGCATTAGATTACAGTCTTGCAGATATCCATCTAATCAAAAAAGGCTTAATTAAATGTAAAAAATAAAACACTTTGAAGTTTGTGTTGCGTAACTACTGGCTCTGGGTGGAAGTATGGTTTAAAGAGAAACTTACTGGTGAAATTTAATTTCTCTGCTGCTTTTCATTATGTAACAGAGCATTTGAATTTTGTAGTTCAAATCTTAAAGTTGAAGCTCACATGGTAGTAAAGCAATCCTTCTGATTCATAGTTGTGTAAAGAGGCCTGACAACCAGTTCATTAAGGACAATGAAAGCACAAATGTGACATTTAAGTGGATTGGCCCAGTATAGATTTTTGTTTTAATCCATTGTCTTTAGTTTTAGTTCACTTGTTAATTTTTTTTAATCTTCCCATTTAGTCTGTGACTTTCAGAATGGGTGATCCCACCATGCCACAGCACGTCTTTATGTCTCTTGTTATTGCTTTTAAATCTGAGAACTACCCAAGAGACTTTGAATCAGCTTTACCCAAAAACTTGAGCTGGAGGCCTCAGCCTAGTGCTGCCTCCCACAGCCTCGCATTAGAGAGGCACACATGCAACAGCCAGTGTTGCTGAGAAAGTAGGCCAAGGGTCACCGCTGCCTCTGAGCATGAATGTGGGTTGGTCTTTTGAAAGGTAAATATAGCTGGTGCTGCTCAAAAGAGACGGCAGCAAGAGGAATTCATTGCCAGGATGTCAACATATACTACCATACTGCCATGGCTTCTGTAACCTTTAGCCGAGTTCTATAACTTGCAACTGCAATCACCATGAAGCACTTTTCAGCTGTGCGGTGGTTTGGTTTTGAAGCTTTGTCTATATGTGGAAAGCACTGAGCCTTTGGTGAATGCAGAGGGGATCAACAAAAATGACACTATAGCGTATGAATTATCAAATAATACACTAATTTATATCACATGAGATTTTTCCTGGTTTTGTGTGCACATAAACACGCTTTATCCCCATGGTTAGTGCAAAAAGGTCTCTGTAAATTAATTAATTTCAAACCCATTTGATGACTAAAAATAGGCTAAGTTTGACTAAATTAAACCTCACACTAAAAAACATAGTGTTTATTTAAATACTTTGAGAGGCCTGGTGATTTTCCTTTGGGGGAAGGCCAAAACCTGTTTGGTGGGTGCCAAAAATGTTTGTATGATGGAAAAAACAGTCGTGATGCAGTTATATTTGCACACCTTGATGTGTTATGATATAAAGTGGATATACGTTTTTTGTATTTGTGACCAACTTGGTTTTTGTTTATGTTTATCAAGTGAGCTAAACAACGATCTAATTTGATGACTTCTTATTCTGGGCTTCTCAGGTGGCAAAACTCAGCAAATGAGCTGCGGTCAGTTTCTTCTGAAATGAATCATGAAACCAGCGGTTTGTTTTCATATGTCAGTATCTTGGATATCACAAAACCAGGTCACGGTGTGTGTATGTGCCCATGCTCACAGATAATTTGGGAACAACAGATTGTGTTTCTGTTGATTAGTGTTTCAAGTGACTCGCCTTATGTCAGTATAACTTGATTTTTGCTGTTTTTGTTGTTTTGTTTTTGGGGGGGACATATTTGGTGCCACAGCAAACTTTTTTCCTGGTCTTGCTTCTGTTCTATTTTGTCACTTTTTTCCTCAATACTTGCTGCTTCTTTACTAGATGCGGTGGTACAGTGGGCGCCATTTTAACTTGTCCTCTGGAAGTGGTGAAGACCAGGCTGCAGTCCTCTTCCGTTACACTCTACGTCTCTGAGGTTCAGCTCAGCACAGTCAACGGAGCCAGTGTTGCCCGTGTTTCCCCGCCGGGGCCTCTGCACTGCCTCAAGTAAGGAGAAAGATTAGCTGTGCCTAATTGATATCCACTGAAATTAACATTATAAACAGTTATGATGTGGCTTCAATGTTGTCTTTTCTTGGTTTAAGTATTATTTTGTCCATTAGCTGGCTGCTTACATTTAAAAGGTCTGTGTGTGCGTCTCATATTATTGTAACTTTAATGTAATGAGTTATTTTCTTCTAATAAAATGACTCCTTACTGGAACGTTGCATCACTGCAAGAACAAACAAAACTATGAAATGGCTCAGAAACACTGATAACAGATTTTTCTTGTTGCACGGTTCCTTTAATATGTGCACTGTAAGTTGCAAACTGATGTCAAGTTGCTCCAAATTGAAAATATTTTCTTCAGGAATGCTTGGGCTTTCCTGGGGAGTGAGTTTATTTGGATTGCCAATGCACTTCTTTTTCTTTCTTATTTTAATAGATGTTATTGTTGTTATTAGTGCCTTTTTTGTTTTTTTGGTGGATTGTTTGTTTGTTTATTTTAGAGAGCAACTTTAACCGAGACAAGAAGATAAACATTTTGGTTTCAGTGGTTATTTTCTTTGACATCTGTAGACAAAATCAATAATTTAAACCTCATGTTGACCTTGTAGCTCTTTTGTTGTTTTTGATACTTTCTCTCTGAAACTTATGTAAGATATCCACAAAGAATGGTTCATGTTTTTTAGGTGTTTTTTTTTCTTTTCTTTTTTTTCTTCAATATAAATGTAAGTCATCTTGTCATTGGGCAGAGTGGAATTTTGTCAGAAAGATGAAGTAAGAGTGAGAGTAGAGGGGAACTCAGCATTTGCTTAGAACCTGCTGAAAGCTGATGTGGCTACTTGTAATGACCATTAACCACTGCAGGATTAGCAAGTAAATATTCAGCTTGCCTTTATAAATATGGACCCCTATTATTGTACCCTGGCAAGCTGCTATACAAGAGCATGTCAGAGAGCATGTCACTCTTACATAATGCATAAGTGTGTGGATGTGTGTGGAATTTTCCACTGCTGAATGGTGCCGTTAGTTATTTTGTAAATACCTTTATATTTGACAAGCCTCTTATGTTTGGTTCTGTATCACAGGAATATAAAATACTTTTTATATTTAGAGTATTTATAATTGGCAGGCTACACAGGCAACATGCTGATCTTGCACTTTTGCAGTTCCCTAGGTTTTGTTTTGTCACTAGTGGGGTTAGCTATAACGTTCTTTAACAATGAGCCTAAAAATTGATTTGTTCTGACAGTAGGTCTGGGATGTTAGTCTGCTGTCAGGCAGTGCTCCTGTCAGGATTTTGTTTAATAACAGTTGACTAAGAGATTGCAGCTCATGTGGACATTGTTTTGGGCTCTGTGTCGGTGTTGTGGCAACATAAGTCAACTTCTTGTGTTGTCTTCAAAATAAGCAGCATCTTGCAGCAGAACTACAGCAACACTATTTCATGGTACAGAGTGGAGAAGGATGAAAGCACGAACTGCAGCATAGCTAACGAGGGGGGTGGGAGGACACACGTCAAAGTGGGTCAACGTGCAGTGTGGTGCATGCCAAGATCCCTTTTAGGGCGGAGGACACCTTCACTCCAAATCACGTGTGTTGTCTGGTTTTAGACCCATTTCTTTCTAGAGGATGTGCCATTTGCTATAAATAATGAAGAATCAGATAACATAATGATTAATAATGAAATAATAAAATGAGGAAATCACATAAGTGGGGCAGAAAGGCAAAGTCTATAAATAGAATTATTTTTAGCTAATTAACTTCTTCCAGTAGGATCCGAGCTATGTCTTTTTTTTTTTCTTTTTTTTTTCTTATTGCTGGATTTTTATTTTTGTTTTGAACATGTTTAAATTAACTTCATGAAACAAATCTGCTTAATCTGATTTGTGGTAATTATGAATTTACAACTGTTATTAAATGTGAAAACAATTTAGATTACGAGTTATCTTTAAACCATTCACTGTATAATATGCTCCAGTGTTTAAATAATGTACATGTTGTGTTTTGACTATAAAGTGAAATATTTCCTCATATGTTTGCTCTTTTGACAGGTTAATTCTAGAGAGAGAGGGACCTCGTTCACTCTTCAGAGGACTGGGTCCTAACCTTGTAGGTGTGGCACCTTCCAGGTATGTGCAGTATTATCTGCAATAATGTGGGAGTGTTGTGTGTTAAAACTGCTTTACGATTTCTTTAGGAATAACACAGAAACGGAGCCCAAAGTAAGGGAAATAACCTTCACTTCCATATCTTGCGTGTCATAACATCATGAATGAGTAATTCATTTTTTATTTTTATTTTTTTGCGTAAGAAGCAGTTAGCTAGCAGCAGTATCATCCGCACTAGCACTGCCCTGCTATCGGGTTAAAGGCATGCCTGTGTAATTTATTTTGACATGTTTAATCAAACTCTATGAGACAATTTTTCTGGGGGAAAGTCTTCAGGCTGTATTATGGGCAGCAGCTGAGCTGTTAAATTTAACTCCTGTGTGCTGTCTTATTTACTACTGAAATACAGATAGTAAGTGCCTCAATCTGTCTACTGAGAATGGGTTGCCTGTCAACCAGTAGTATTAGTAGCGTCACATATACTTCAGGCCGATGTTGTTCTTCATCAGCATCACATAAATTCAAAAGTCTCAGAATCCAAAAGACAAATAAGGTTTTTTGATTTTTGTTGATTTATTAAAACGTTACAGTGTTATCAGCCATAACAAACTCATTATGACCAAGTCAAAACTGAAGTACAACTTTGTTCAAAATGATGTATTGAAATATCATTCAACAGCAGTCATTTTCCTTTAAAGATTTCTTTTTAGTATTTGCAGACTTTATTTGACAGTACAGTGTAGAGGAGACACAAAAGCAAAGAGAGAATGGGGCAATGACACACAGGAAATAGTCTGGAGTGGACTCCAACCTGAGCCACTGCAGTGCCCTTCAGCATATTTCCCCCGGTTGTTCAGGTGAGCTGTAGTGTTGCCCAGTTGTGTGAACATTAAATACAGTGACCTGATATTTATTTATTTATTTTATTCAGGCTTGCATTTTACACAGTGTAAAACAGCTCATATAAAATCTGCAGCCTTTATAACAAATAGTGAATGAACAGGCTCAGGCTGAAGTGGCACTTGGATATGCCTGACCTATGTTGTTATCAGTAAAGCTGCCCTCATTTCCAAGTAGAAGAAGAAAACGACAACAAACAAACCACAATGTTCTCAAATATAACCCTCAAACATATTTGTAGAGCATTTGTTTTAATGCAAGAAATTACTTGGGCAATTTTATTGCTTTAAGCATTAAATAAATAAACAGAATAATTAAATTACATAATGTGGGACCTTAGACACTGTGGTTAAGTGTGATCATAGTAACCAGACTTTGCTCTTTTACTGTAACAGAACTGTTGAATTTATTCTCATTTAAGTCAATCCTCAATGTTCCACACAGTAAGAAAAGTAAGGAAGTATAAATGAAGACTGAATTATGTTGCAGGGCACTAGAAATTAATACATCACTTGTTTTATAAAGAATTACTGACCACTTTGAAATTTAATATAATCAGTGTGTTGTTTCCATGTTAATTTGTGATCAGTCACATTATGTAGAAAGTTGGCTTCATCAACCTTGGATCTTTAGTTTCATATGTTCTACAGTTTGTTCTATTTGCTTAAACCACAAAGTCTTAACACATTCAGGCTTAAATACAATAACACAAAGGAGCAGTGGGATTAATTGTGCATGCATAATATGCTCTCAAAAAAACTCTCAAAAGTAGCATTCAGATTTACGTATTCTGTCCTCACAGATGTTAGATGAATGTTACCTTCTGTTTTGTTATAGTTGACTAAAACTACAGAAATAAAACTAGACTGAATGAGAACTGAAGTGGTTTGAGTGCTCATAGAGCGAACTAAAATGGACTAAAACATACAGAATGTGCTTTTTTTATTTTTAGGCTTTAAAAATGTGGTCACATTCGTCAACACAACTGGTCTCATGAGGCTTTGGCGCCTCTATTTATTGAGACTTGGAATGCCTACACAACTTTAAATTAGCTGCCTGAACAAAGTGTTGTTTATGTTGTGCTGACATTTTGCTCCTGACCCTTCACATTATTGGTTTTAAGGAAACTAAACACAAATAAATAAACAGCAAATAAAAACTAAAGCTACATATTTTTAGTCGATATAAACAGAAACATGAAAACCTAGAAACTAACTGAAAAAAGCAATACGAAAAACTCAAAATGGACAAAAAGTAAAAAAGCTATTCATCAAATATGACATTATAATTACTCTAGCATCAGATTTATGTTACTGAGGTATTTGTGGTCCTATGAATACAAGTGGTGATGCACATGGATGCAAGGTGCTCATTACCTGTGTATATAAATGCACACTGTACGTATGCTGAGCTCGAGCTGCTTCTCCTTATAAGGGTTCGTTTGACTGAAATGTTGCAATTTAATAAGTATGTAAGCAGTAAGTGAGACAAAGAGTGCAGGACTGTAATTCAGTTGCTTTCACACTGAGGAATGTCTGAAATAATGGAAGACCAGGAATGTGCATGTAAACTTCTCTCAATCACAGCAGCAGCACAATGGAAATCTGTGCTTCAAATCTGTGCGGAAATGAGAAGGTTCCCTAATTCTTAGCTTATCTGCCCTAACGTCTGGATGCAGTCAATCAAATTCCCGTGAAGCAGCAGCAGCAGACGCCGGCCAGCTGTTACGCTTTCATCATGTGACAGCCACTGCTGTTGTTAAAATGAGGTTTCTAAATTAAGGCAGTTGTGTTTGTGTATAATCCCTCCCTGATCGTTCTAGTTCTCTGTAGTTACTGCTGTGTCACCGCCGACGTCTTCTTCCTTTTCTGGTTAGTTTTACGTATCGTCTGTGTCATGATTTCATGATACTCTTTCTCTTCTCGTGGGTCTTTCACTCTTTGTCTGCCCTTTAGGTCCATCCAGTGCATCTGTGTCTGTCAGTCCTGTGTTGTTGTACTGAAATGGCTGGCCATGACAGCTATAGGAAGTAGTGCTATAGGAGGATGTTATCACATAAGAGGTGAACCTGATGAACTCGCTGGCAAATTATGTGGTTTTCCACTGCTTTATAGACAGGATATGACAACAGGAAACATGGTGGTTAATAGTTAACCCATATATAAAAATAAATTAAAAAAACTACCTCAAGAAACCACTTTTAGGGTTCCACTGCTTTGTGTTTTGTGGGAATAAAGAATAGCTTTTAACTAATTTTATTCACTTTGTTTTCATTCATAACCATTAATGTAGAGAAGCATATTAGGATGCAGTTTAAAACAAATTACATTGGCTGTAACGTGGTGAAATGTTAGTATAAATAATTTAAAATGGATTTATGAGCTGCTCTCATTATTCAGAGCAGCCAGATTCATTAGTGCTCACAGTACAAACAATACACTGATCAAAATGCCACCATTAGTGTCCGACAAAATAATTGTATATGCAGAATTGTAACAAGCGACTTTAGTATAATTGAATGAAACATCTTATTACTTTATTTATCAGCAGGCGGAGGTGTGAACTCCAGCGCTGTTGTCTGCTGTGATATTTACGAAACGACACTCTGATGCTGCAAAGCCTCTGACACTCAACAGTCCACCGGGCATGCTGCTGGCGTTCATTAACAACACACTCGACCCGATTTCTACACAGCTTGCACCACGAAAATCTCTCTTTGCTCGTGAGCTGCATACATGCTTTCAGAGCCAATCATATCATTCGTCTGCAGAGCAGCGTGATTACATTTTGCATGCATGCTCTCAAATCCAGAACGAGGGCTGAGAGCAGAGGTCACGGAGTTTAATTCCAGTCAGTGTTGATTAAATCCTATGATTTCATTTATAGAAGAGCAGCTAGAATCATGGGAGGAAAAATCTGTTTCTAAAGCATGACATTTGTGCATGTGCACACTAGAGAGGCACGTATTTATCAGCCGAACATCAGTACTGATGTGTATTTGACTTGTTGGCTGTTATTGGCCTGTCAGCAAAGAAAATAAGAAATGCCATTTACCGACAGCAGTGGCCATTGTGCGCCTTTTTGTTCTGTGGTTTTTATGTGCGAGAACTAGCTTCACAAATGTGTATAATGACATTTTAAATGGAGCACAAGAATTTAAAACACCGATTTTATTTATAGTGTTGTATAGTTTTAAAATTAGCTGAATTTACTGCATGTTCCCCATGTTCAGTTTGGGCAGTATTTAATTTTGTGCAACTGAAATGATGTGTTTGTACTTAATATAGCTAACTTGTTAATCATTTACACATTAAATAGCTCTGCAGGTACAGTCACAGCTAGTATGCTTTTGTTTTATATTTACTCCCTGGACACGTCATTAACTTCTTTCATTTCCTGAGTCTTTTAGTAATTAAAGTTCTCTCTCTCTTCCGTTTTAATCGTCACACAGGGCGATATACTTTGCGGCCTACTCGACAGCCAAGGAGAAGCTTAATGGAGTGCTGGAGCCAGACTCTACCCAGGTGCATATGGTGTCGGCTGGGATGGCAGGTAATGATTGCTCCTTCCCCTCCCCCTTTCTGTCTGTCTGTCTTTTTTATCTGCCTGTCTGACTGTTTGTCAGTCTGCCTGGGCAGTGTTTCTTACTGATGGGTTTTATTTATAAAAAAAAAAAGAAAAGAAAAAAGAATTATTTAGTTTTTCTCTATCAAACAACTTTCATTATTTTTTTTATTTTATACAATTTAAGTATCCCAGACACCACCCTTCCCCCAGACCTGACGCATGCTAAAGCTAACTGATAATGTCTGTTTTTAAGTCGGCATTACTTAGCTATTTCTTGTATAGAAATATTAATATAAACAATCATTGATTTATCAGAAAGCACAATTTAAGCCTCTTGGGATCGAAATAACCTTGATTATTGTGTATGTCGCGATGAGTTATTCATGTCTTAAATACTGCAGTTTCTACAATATTTCAGAGTTCATCCTCTACTTTAAGGGGACCTTGAATCTGTAAGAGGTGAAAGGTTCTTATCACATCTTTTATTACATATCAGCTTCTTTGCAAACAATCCTTTCTGTAACTAAACTGGGCCGATAATGCAGTATCTTATCTCTCCATGGTAGCCTTGATAGTCCCCGAATAGTTGAGGAGACAAATCCTGATATCAGCAGTGCCAGAATTTCATGTACCCATACCAGATGAAACATTTCAGGCTGCAATTCCCCAACTGCTGATCTGTATTTGGTTTTATCTGTTATACAAAAGAGAAAAATGTTACGGTCCTCAAAGTTTGGGTTGTGCTTTCCTCTTCTCTTAGCCCCGCTGTCCCTCATGTACTTCGTTAAAGTTTTTTGTTTTGAATCCCCTCCTCGCCCTTTTTTCCTCTCTTTTTTTTTGTTTTCTGTTTTTTAAATTCTTTAATTTTGAGGCCTCTCCAGAGGACACTGTAAATGGTTTAACATCCCAGTTGTTACTTAAACAGTGTGGTCTGGGCCCCCCTCCCCTTTGCTCTGTGTGTGTATAGAGAAGAGAACACGGCCCCCAAAGGTCAACCGGGGCCCCTGGCACTCGGGCGGACACGTCAGGTAGCACCCCATTTCTTTACACTGGTATGATGAAAACCATGGTGATTTTTCTAATTAAATTCATAATGGTTATTCATTTTTAATGGTATTAGCATTGCTTACAGCAGGTGTTTGCTGCTGGTGTGTAGTTTTAGATTCATGATGAAGTTTATTATTCCTTAATCTTAACACACACCTCCCCCTCCCCTTTTAACGTGTTTCATCAATACATTAAAGCTAAAGTAATGACAGTTTTTGTTGTCAGCACAAACGAAATGCTAACCTTGTCACTGCCACAGAAGGCTGCACTCGGTGTGTTTTTCATTTTGTATTTTGTCATCATTCATCAACACTGAGTGCTTCAGTCATTTCTTTCCAAGGAGAACTGGACTGATGGTATTTTCACATTTCACGTGTTTACTTGTTAAATTAGTTGAATTTCCTGAAGACAGTTAATTGCCTTAGCAGTTTAACCCCATCAGTATTGGCACCACTTAAAGATAAATTCATTATTGTGGATAAAATGCAGTGAAAACATACACATGTAAGTGATAAAACGGGAACACATCAACACACATAGAAAGAGATGGACCTTGGTGTTTAGTCTTTTTCATACTTATAGCAGTTGCATAAATTTCTCTTGTAAATCTCAAAGAAATGCAGGTAAGGATATAAATACAGTCTGACTGTTACCACGCAAGTGCTTAAAAACTAGCTTTAAAAATTTCAGATGTTTTAATGTGGACAAATTGTTGTGTTACTACACAAATATTTTGCTATGATACTAAATGTATCCCTCTCTCGCTTTTTCATCTTTATTGTCTCGAAGATTATCAGTGCTTATCAGTAATAGATTTAATGCGGTGGTCAATGCCAAAACCTCAGGGACAGTTAATTGATACTGATGCTGTGAATTCGTGCTCAGTTTTATAAACTAACTTTGTGAAGTCGATGTCTTTTATAGCTTCACTGCTCCTGCAATGGGAACTTTTTGTATGGATTCAAATCCCATTTCTTTACTTAAGCTATTTTAACATATGAACTCATATGATCTGCTTCATAAGCACTCTCACTACTGTAATTCTTAGTGTGGTCTACCTGATATTTGTGGGAGTCGACTGTGATATTTTTGTTCTACAAAACTTCACGGCTGCAGTGCATGTGTGGAAGAACAGCTTTAGACTTCAGCAGTTAATCTAAAGCATGCTGCTGTCCCTGAAAGTAGGTCAAACCCCTCAGGAAAAATTGCACAGGGATTATTTGAGTATTGAAAGATCATAATATACAACATGCAGCAGCGTTTCCATGTGCCTGGTGGCCTGCTGAGCCCAAGAACACACTTTTTGTTTTTAAATTTACATAAAATATAATCATTATTATGTTGTTAGAAATTTAACACTTGAACAAATAGTCAAATATTGTGAGTTGATACAGTTTTAGACTAAAGATTAACTGCTCTGTGTCATTGAAGTAAATGGTGACTTAATGCACTCCCGCTGGTATAGCATGCGCCGTTTCCTCATCGAGGTAAAAGCTGGAAATAAAGTCCTGGTGGTCTTTCTCCTGTCACCCATATTCATGCACACATTCTGCGTTGTGGTTGAAACATTGAGTGTATTATGCTAGCGCACCACATCTGTAAGTTACGGATCGTCCTTTTGATTTTCATCCATTATTTCATTGTCATCAGTCACTTCATTCTTATCACATATTCATACAAAGTTTCTTCATTCTCTTTATCCCTGTCACATAAAGTGTTGAGTCTGTTACACTGAACGGCAAGGTTAGCATTTCCACCGGCCTCTTTTATTTTCAGACAAGGAGTTTAGGTTAAAAACTGATATTGGCTCAATGGTTATAAGGAATACCTCTCCAGTTTATTTATTTTTTTATGTCTTTGTGTTCTTGTGATTTTTAGCTTGCTCTCATGAGATAGAGCTGGAGGCTTGGATTGGTTTGGGCCTCTGATTAGTCGTCTTCTTTACTGCAAAAAGTGGGGATAAAGTAAAAGTAATAAAAATGTAACACAAATTAAAGCAGTTTAAAGATGGGTAAATTATACGGGTTGGGGCACAGAGTTGGGATCATAGTTTGGTGAAAGATGGGGGGTGGTATGAGTCCTTCACCCCCCATCTCTTCTCCATCTACTTCAGAAAGTGGGTTGATGTGGGTGGTTGGTGGGATTTGGGGTGGATGTGACTGCTGCTTGTGTGTGACTGTGGTACAGAAAAGCCTGTGTCTATTTTAGGGCTTTACTGTAAAGCTTTCACCCCTGCGTGATTGGGTGGGACATCCCCGCCATCTGAGCCCCCCATATCTGCAGGCTACTAGCTGCAGCGGGGAGGAGCTGGAGGAGCTTTGCCCCTCCCTCGTGAGTACACGCCATAGAAGCTACTTCATTCTACTTCCTCCTTTTTTTCTTCTTCCTCCTTTTGTTCTCCTCTTCTCTTCAACAGACCTGTGTAATCCTTTCTTCTTCATGCAGTTGCCTTAACATAGGTCTCTGCTGCATCGATACACTAGACGTGACTGAGGTCTCTTCATAGCCTTGCCCTGGTCTTAGCTGTTTTCTGCAAAAGGCCATGTTTTACTTCTCACTGGTACATCCGTTTAGCACAGACTTTTAAAGAGACTTTGTGTCATTTCGTAATGATACAAAGTGCAGATTAATTAGCTTTATACTATACACAGCAAGCTTTGCTTTACTGTACATTATCTAGCATTTCTACTGATCAAGAATAGTTGCGATCAGTTACAAATTAAGCTAACATCTACCAAGTGTGTTGGCAGGCAGATAGTGAAACAGGGTTTACTCACCACGATTAAAAAGTAACGGTTACACTTTAGACTTCCTAGCAGTGACTTTCCACTAGTAAATAATTAAAGAATCTCCTTTAGACAACATTTTTCTTCACTATGCGGTAGTTGTGCTAGCTGTGCTAGTATATGGCCTACAACCTGTCTGTAGTGTCCAGTCAAGTTAACCACTGGTTCATATTAGAATAAATATAAAGAACGTGTGTTTTTAGGGACCAAGACTAAATGAGCATTGCTAACCATTGTAGAAAATCTAGAGACTAATCAAAGCTAAGGGTCAAACCTATTGTGTTGTGATGTTTATTTCTGTATGGGTAGATTTGTTTGTAATCACTGATTAAGGTGATGTGTGTAATGCTATGTTAATAAAAACGTTTGAGGATAAGTTCTAATTACAAACTCTTATTAATTTATCAGCCACATGTAAAGGCCTAAAATGAGTTTGCTGCTTGCCTACATTTGCTGCTGTTTGCAGTTAGTTTTTATCCAGATCCATACATAAAAAAAATATCTAGACAGTCATAGCTGAAAGCTGCTGCCTTCATGCACTGTTATCTGAGATCTTTTACTTCAAAAGGAGAACTGTTTACCTGTTGTTTATATGCACTTGAGTAGCATTTCATATGAAGAGGATCAATAAGTTAACAGATTAGATGTTTTGTGTCTGTAACTCAAAATATTTTTTAAAAATTCAGATTTAATTGTTATACTGTTGTCTGAATTAATGATATCGATGTATTTTACGTAAGACTTGTAATGAGATTCATTTAAACACCTCAGCCAGTTGATCCTGTTTCCTGAAGTGCTTTCTCACTGTATTTGTACCGTGTAGCTTAATCTAGTTTATTTTAATGTGTTCTTACAATGAGTGTCTCTGCCTGTGTCTGAACCTCTGACCTCTTCTAAATTTGCCAGGGTTCACCGCCATCACAGCCACCAATCCCATCTGGCTGATTAAAACCCGTCTGCAGCTGGACTCCAGGTGAGGAGGATTTTTCTGATAAGTGTAAAAATGATGGAAAAATGCGTTGTTAAACTAATGAGAGTAAATTATTCTAAAAGTTATTTAATTTTAATTGAAAGTGTCTGTGTGATGGCAGGAATCGTGGCGAGCGGCGTATGAGCGCTTTTGAGTGCATACGACGAGTGTACCAGATGGATGGCTTACGAGGTTTCTACAGAGGTATGTCAGCCTCATACGCTGGCATCTCTGAGACTGTTATCCATTTTGTCATCTATGAAACTATCAAGCGAAAATGGCTTGAGTACAAGGCTCAGGCCAGCATGGACGAAGAGGAGGAATCTGTCAAAGATGCCTCTGACTTTGTGGGGATGATGCTTGCAGCTGCCACCTCCAAGACCTGTGCTACCTCCATCGCCTATCCTCATGGTAATCTTCTCACTCACTTTCATATGTTGTAGTCAAAGGATAAAGGTCTTAATATTTAATACTTCTATTGTACCCTTCCTCTTACTAGCTGTGTCCCAAAACATAGGCTGCATCCTCCTGAGGCCGCAATTGTAGACCAATTATGTCACAGCGAAGCAACGAAGGCTGTCCCAATTCGTAGACTCCTCCGAAAGCGGCCGACAAATGCGTCCTCCTTTTCCCCAGATTTGAAGGATGGGTCGGCTGTATCCTTCGTTCATCGCGCAGCCCAGCCAGTTCCAGTTTCCAAATATGGCGGCAGCTACTTAGTTTTAATATTACTCTTATTACTCTTTCTGGGTCACAAAATAAACTTTTAACATATTTTCAGGCGAGAATGTAGCTGTGTAAACCTCAAATATCTGCTTGGTTTATCAAGACATCACATATTTGCAAAAGTGCTCTGACATTTTTGGAGATCTCTGTTACCCACCAGATCGATAGCTAGCCGGGGGTTAAATAAAACTTATAAAAACGTATAAACTTTATTAATCCCTCGGGTGGGTTCCTCTGGAGTTTTCACACAGCTGAATAAACAAACAAACAGAAAACTGATTAAACAGAAGTATGAGATGGTCAAGAATTTACGGCAGTGCCCTGTTATATTTTAGATAGCAAGGAGCAGACGGCTGAGTGTATTAAACTCCACCGAGACAGCGGTGACACAAATCTGAAGGCTAGACCGTCCTATTTCACAGCCTCGCACTTCCGTCCTCCGAAGGATGTGACCTAGGTTTTGGGACACAGCTACTGTTTGTGGTTCAGCCTTAAGAATATTTATTCCCAGCAAAGAAGTAATCTTTACAAATGGATCCCGAGGGCAGACTTTTAGTTCAGTAAATTTCAGCACTTACAACTGAGGCGGATGTGTAAATAACAAATGCATAAAGTTAATTATCTATTTATGTTTTTAGTTCTTTTATTTTAAATAGTTTTCAGTTGTTGGAACCAAAATAAGAACCCTATTTTTAACATGCTGTAAATTAAACATGCAGTCTGTACCATTACTCAAACAGGGGGCAAAAGCTGTGGTCACTGGGAATTATTTTCAGTCTTGGACTAATACTTATTTTCCACCCTAATTTACGAATAAATTCTTTACAAATCCTACCATGTGAATTCATGGATATTTTTTTTTCACATTCTGTCTCTCACAGTTGAAGTGTACCTCTGGTGCAAATTACTGACCTCTGTCATCATTTTAAGTGGGGGAACTTGCACAATCGGTGGCTGACTAAATACTTTTTTGCCCCACTGTACAGCACCAGGGACTCATTCAGAAAAAACATGTTATGCCAAAGCTGAGTGCAATGTTGTGGATTATTTATATTTTGTAATTGTTGCAGAATAAACATGAAGCTCTATCGCAAAATGTATTAATAAACATAAGGCTTTTCTGTACTTGGACAAGATTTAGACTGTAGTTAGTCTGATAACTGGTTTAGTTTTTTCTTGCCATTTGTTGGTACACATGGAACATTATTAGTATTTTTAAAGGATAGGTGAAACGTATTAGATTGGAAATCATTAGTATCCTGTCTTAACTTTGGAGAAATTCAACTTGGTGTGTCTCATGAATGGGAAATTACACAACACTCAGAGGCAAAGCCTGACACAGCCAGTGGCCAGTGGAATATGTAACTCAAGTTTCTTCTTCTTCTCTAATTGCAGAGGTGATCCGCACACGACTACGAGAGGAAGGCAGCAAGTACCGCTCCTTCTTCCACACTCTGCTCACAGTATCCAAGGAAGAGGGATACCGGGCGCTGTACCGTGGCCTAACCACTCATCTCGTCAGACAGATTCCCAACACGGCCATCATGATGTGTACATATGAGGTGGTGGTCTATCTACTTGGCTGTTAGCCTATCGTGAATGTCTCTGCTCTGTTTAAACATGGAGACCGTTAAGTGACTGAGAAAGATGACCTTTTGCTGGAAACAGTGGCTATGAAACGTCAAAATGAAGATTAAAGGAAACCCGAAGACACTCGTGTGGACCAGAAAATGACAAATTGAAAAAAGATGAAGAAAGAGACAGGACCATATCGGCATCATCCCCACCAGCTCCCTTTGTTAGACTGCTGAAACGGCTATAGAGTAATGTTGGCAGAGGAGGTAACATGGCCAGAAGTGCGGAGGCACTGACAGGGAAGCCACAGAAACAGTTTGGCACCTTGTGTCAACTCAAAGTTTATTCAGTGTTCAGTGGACCTAACAGAAAGGATTTAGCTGGCATCCTTCTCTTTAGACAGAAGATAAACTTTTTTCTTTTTTTTTAAAACTTTTGTAGAGATACCGTGGGAGGAGAGTGCTTGGAGGCAATTCAACTTGACAAGACAGATGGAAACTAAATGTAGGTCACTTTGAGTAATCCAAAAATCTCTGTTTGCTATGTTTAGTCTGCACTTGCCTTAGTGCTGTGATACCCCGGTACGATTAACTGACTAGCAGCTGAGGCAGAATGTTAGAAGGAAAGTTCGTATGATGTAAAGACGTCCCCTGAGCCACACACCGTTGCACTACAGAGAGCGTGGCTTCAAGCATTCTCCTCCTATGTCCCCTAGAGGGCCTGAATCTCACACACAGCCATGCAGAAACTGGCCAAATACAATGAAACACAATGATGAGCTTGTGATAGTGACTGTCACTTGAGCACGTGACTGTGACACTAGTCAGTGTTGATGAAGACTATGTCAAAACGCTGGCCTCCATTCAGTGTTTTATTCCTCTGTGACGCAGTGCCTGGTGGTGACATGTTTTTGCTGAAGGTGGCCTTCACCGTTTCAGTGTCGCTTGTTTGTATCGTCGTTGTTCACAACTACCACCCAGCTGAAATTATTTAACTTGTTAGGGGCATGAAGCATGGGCAAAGGTATAAACACGATAAATCTGGGTGTTGATTGGGATCACTTTCTTTGAAATTGTGAGTTTTTAGTCTTAGGCGGTCTTACTAGTGCACTATTTGGTAAAAATTGAAATCCGATTGTTTCCAAGGCCAACTTTTGTCTCCGGTCACTGCTTAGGGCTTAAAAATCTTTGATAAAAACACGAGACCAACGTGTCCTGTTACTGATGTGAAGCATGCAACGCAACAAAAGGTACCAAGTATCTTCTATTAGCGTTGCTACTTGAATATAATGTGACGGTTCGGGGAAATATTGGAGTCGGAGCAGAGTGATGGAGTTTTATCACCCCATAGCCTGTTTGTACGTGAGTGTGTCTTTATGTTTGTGTGTGTGTGTTTGAACAATTTACATGATCTGTGTGTCCGTGCATTTGCAGGCCTTTGCGCCTGCATGTATAATAAATAATAACTACTCCAGATCTCCCTCCACTAACTATTAATCCTGCAAGACACTGGTTTGGAGTACGGAGAATCTCCTTTATGATACTGGGAGCTTTCATTCCCACTTTCATTCCAGTGCTTGCTTCCAGTGGCTTCCAACCGACCCGATAACATGCACTTTTGTGGCCTTTTAGGCTTGTGCTTTGCATTTTTATTGTGTGGACAGGTTAAACTTGTACATTGTAAAGGAAAAAAAGTATTACTGTATATCAAAATGGTATTTTGCGCAACTGTTCCTAGAGCAGATCTATTGTACAGTTAAGAGTTGTCTGTAGTTGTGAAGGATGTCCACATGTTTGTAAATAATATAGATACTGTGTATGCATATCAAATTTTTTTTCCTTTTTTCCCCCACCCTTAGACCCGTTTCTGATCATGCTGTAGTTTGCATTAGCAAATGATTGTTTTCATGGCTTTGACATGAATATTGATGTTGCTTGACTGATTTTTCTTGTGTTTGTGTGTTGCTGTAAGCTGTCGCGCTTACACGTAGTTTCCAAAAGCTGCTCAACCAATACAAAATGTAAGCATATGAGCCACAGTATTGTTTTGTCGTCCATCAAAGTGTTCCAGTTTGCAACGTTTGGATGTTTCTGTCATTTTGTCTGTTTACATTGTTTCGTACCTTCTATCAGATTTTGTTTGGTTCTCCTCAGTTTTTTTTTTTTTTTTAAGAATATAAAAATGGAAGTTAATTTATTGTGAGCTTAAAAACTGGAATCATCTTTCTGTGATGGTACCATTGCTGCGTAGGATGATTACAAATTTTGTTACGGGAAAGGTTTATTGGTGAGACTGTGAAGTTGCCCGTTTAACTGACCACTTGAAGAGGTTCACGAAAAGATGACCTTTTGGTAAAATTTGGCACTTATTATCTTTCAAATTGTGTTTAAGCTTTAATCAGAATTTCCCTTGCATACAGAATTATGTCAAGTTTAACAAAGCACTGTGCTTTTCCCCAAAGTATTTTTCTCCAGTTAAAAGAAAAGAAAATCTAATAATTGATGCATTGTGTTCTTGAACACTCATTTCCCTCATTTGAGTTGCAGCATCATTTCAGAGGCAAACTGAAGTGTTGTAACTTGTTATTGATATTTAGTCTCCACCGAGTTGCAGCCCCTCCCCCTAATTAAACAAAACAAATCAAAACATGCTAACCAATTTTAACATCCCATGTTTTTCCTAAAAACACTAACTAGCTGTTTTTCTTCAGACAACTGGACAAACAGTGCAAACATTTACATTTTGTTACCTCTAATTTCAAAGGCTGAATGCAATTTATTGTCTCTAGCCTGTGTGCTCGGTCAGAATGCAGACTCAAGTTGGGTTTACTGAAAACCCAACTTGAAGCTTGTTCTTGTCCAGTTCAGTCATGAAAATGTTTGTTTTTGTTTTTTAAAGCAAAATTAAATAAACATTCATTTGCAACTAAACCTGTATCTATTGTTTTGTTTTTTGTTAAATTTCTTGTACTAACTCCAAAAAGCATCTGTCGTGGGACGCTTTCATTCATGTGGATGTTTCTGTTGTCTTTGGATTATATTATCCTGGAACAACAGGTGATAGGTCAGAACTCTTTGGGCCTCTTGAAGGGGAAACTACATGATATTAGGCAGGTGATTATATGCACCACTTCAAAAATATTAGCTTAAAAATATTCCCATTCTTGTTTGAATGTCTTGTTTTGGGGGGGGGGGAAGGAAAGGAAACGTGTTCAGTTTTGTAAACAAAAATATCTAATTAGCGAATCACATGGCAGCAAATTAATTCATTTAGGTATGTAGACATGATCAAGACTACCTGCTAAAGTTCAAACCGAGCATGCGAATGGAGAAGGAAGGTGATTTACATGATTTTGATCTGAGTATTTCAGAAACTACCAATCTACTAGGGTTTTCCCGCACAGAGAAAACACAGAGAATTCTCTGGAAAAAGAAAATATCCAGTGAGTGGCGGTTCTCTGGAAGAAAATGCCTTGTTTGGTGTCAGAGGAGAATGGCCAGACTGCAGGGGGGGTAAAAATAACTCAAGCACTTTTTACCACCACTCCTGAAAACTGAGGCAATAGTTCACAAGGACTCATCAAAACTGGACGTTAGAGGATTGTAGAAAACATTCAGATGGCAGTGTAAGAATTTGGCAAAAAAAAAAAAAAAACAACAACATGAAAGTATGGATCAATCCTGCTTTGTATGGATGATTCTGGCTGTAATGTAATCGCATGTAAAGGTGTGGGGGATATTTTCTGGATGACTCAGGCTGTGCATTATTTAAACACCACAGCCTGAGTATTGTTACTGATCATGTCCATCCCTTTATGATCACAGTGTACCCATGTGCTGGTGGCTGCAGGACCATGTCACAAAGTTCAGATCACCTCAAACTGGTTTCTGGGGAAAATAGATCAAAGTCTCCGAGGAATGTTTCCAGCGCCTTGTTGAATCTGTGCAATGAGGAATTAAGGGAGTCCAGTGCTAGCAAGGCGTACTCAATGAAGTGGTCGCTTTGTGTATAACTTTTATAGAAAAAGGATCATGAAGACACTGGGGAATACTCCGTCAACTGTTTGCATTTACCTATTTTCACCGCCAGGGGGAGCTAAAGTTCTTCCGATGGAACTGATCAGCGCACCGTTCAGTTCTTTAATATTATATTTCTGTTTCATGTCATGAATAATATATAATTTAAGTGATTTAATCCCACAGTGTAAAATAAAAAGAACATAATCTCTTCTATCCATCATGCTGAGGTAGATTCGACTCCGCACATATCCTGACAAAAGTGTCTATAAAATGTACGTAAACGATGATTGAAATAATCCATCTTCGCACTCGCTGGTCGGAATAAAGAAAGGCCCAAAGACATTAGTTTCTATTGATTCTGTACCGTTTTTCTATTTGGGCTATTCAGCACAACTAGCACAATCACACGTGGCCCCTTTTTATGAGTGGATGCAGATCGATCAGCCCTCCTCTGATTTACTTACACAAAATAATGTGACTCGAAGTTACCGCAGCGGACCACATCACTTTTGCGGTGAAATATCTTAATTGACTTCCAGTTAACAGCCTGCTGACCTGTTTGGTAATAAACATTCAGATGGAAACCACAATACAAGAAATCACATGAACCATGGGGGTAGCGATGCCTTCACAAACAGTGAGAAATTTAGAGAATATGTTAGCAAATTCATCTGCAAAGACAGTGTGCTCCGGAGATTTCATAGCACATATATAATGCTTTTTCACATTATGTGTCATATATGTATGTAAACTATATATACTACATTACAGTATAATACATATATTAAACGTGGATTAAGGTTTCACTCAGTGAGTGTTTCTGGGTAAAGCTTCAGATTCTTTTTTCCTTTAGATATCACCATGTCATACAACCTGAAACTCACAAGGGGGCAGTTATTACGTGTAGGAACCAAGTGACTCACTTTTCTAAACGCTGAAGTGGCAGCAAGTATCCTCTTAAAGAGAGGAGCTCAAATGGCTTTAACGGCATTTGAAATTTCAGTACAAGTTCAGTTTACAGCCTGAGTGGCGTAATTATTTCGAAGGACACGTCACAGATACGATTTAAACTGTTTTTATAAGTGACACAATGAACTGTGTCAGTAGTGGGGTTTGCCATCGTTTATCATGTACTGCCACTTCGGGATTCCCACTTTACGAGCAGCTTTTGAAAGCACCATCTTGACCCAATCGCGACAAAGCAGAAAGCTGCGTTGTGGCTGAAGCGACCAATCGGCGCTCGTTCTGTGGAGTAAGCGGACTCTGGGTGCTTGGCTACCTTGATGTGTCGAGCTCCTGTTTACTACAACAAAGAAACCGTCGCTTAATCGCCAAAAACATTGGTAACAGCGCTGGAATAACGCTGTTGTCGTCAGCCGACGAGGCGAGGTACTTCGTTTCTTCGTATCCCGCAGAGATTTCGCCCGGGAAAACTATCATTTGTGGACTGATTGAGGACAGGTCGGTGAGTGTTATCCCCGTGTATCCTGGACCGCCCGCAGGATTTGGGTTTCCTGCATGCCAGCAAAATGTGAGGTTTTTCTTTATTACGTGTCATCAGCTCTCTTTGTACTGTTGACTGATTGCACAAGTTTACGTAACAGTACCACAATTTAAACTTATAGTCATTGCTGTAGTTCAGTCGTGTGATAAAGTTTCCTCTGTTGCTCCGCGGTGCAGTGACATCTCAGGGTGCATGAATTCACCTGAGTGTCCACACCTTGCCATCTCACTTCCTTTGACATCATCGCAGAGTGCAGAGATGGAAAGAGTGACACAGATGATATCTGTGTTGCCTGTCTGTGTGTGACAGAGGGGGAGATTAGTGTAGGTCATTAAATGAGTACATGTACATGGTTGAAATGACAATAAAAGCCTCTTCACTTGACTTGACTTCACTTGACTTGAGTGATCGACATTTATATTAACGCAGTAGGTAATTGTTTCAAAATTCTATATATAACCCCCAACTTTGAAAACAGCCCAATAAAAATGCTGTTTTGATAGTGAATTTTAGGTGTCAGTTAGATTAATCCATCTTGTTAAAGTAACACCGCTTTTCCTCGCTGCACTCTGATTTATCTGTGTTTTCACACCTTGGCATTTATTAAGCTGGATAAGGTGACAAGGACATGGAAGATGGAGAGCAGATGGTGGGAGGGGAGGAGAGAAAAGAAGGGTAGCTGATGGAGGGTGAGAGGAGAGTGGAGGAGAGAGGAGAAGGCCCTGGAAACTTGACAAGACAAGAGTGCAAGGACACGTGTGCCTGGTGCAGTGTGTCTGCATATGGCTTTCTAACAAGTAATGGGCAAAAGTGTTGGTGTGGAAAGGTGGTCGGTGGAGTGTGCTTGTTGATGGATGACCTGTCTAAATAGGGGAGGGTGGGGGCTTGCGGAGGAGAGGAGGGAGGATGATGAAGCAGAAGGAGGAGACGGAGCTTTGTAAGAGTGACAGGGGGTCATTTATCTGTCTGTTGGATCTCACCAGCTGGTCACTACAGGAGATCAGACTGTTTACCAGCATTTTCCTTCACTAACTTCTTCCCTTCTGTTTCCTTTCATCTCATATCCTCAATTCCCATCTCCTGCACTTTTCTGCTGTTCTTGCCACAGTTCTTTTTCCTCCTGCCTGTTGTCCTATTCTGCTGATTGAATTATGGACACTTGAGCTGTTTACACTTTCATTTAATGGCCCAAACACTCAAACTGACATTGTAGCTGCTGCGCTATCAATAACAATGAGAAGTGCTTGGACAATTTAAACATTGAGCTAACACAGGTGTATATTGAATTCTTCAGTGACTTTTGAAAAGGTTTATTTTTTTCCATTCAGTTACATGAAGGATTGGTGTAGCCTGAAACAGCGTCCTAGAGATTTTTAGTAGAGGTGCAACAATACTGGTATCGATATTGAACCGTTCATACAGTGCTCGGTTCAGTACGCATATGCATCGTACGGAGCCCCGCAGGGGACATGGGAGAAAAAAAAATTAAGACGGACTTTTGCGAGATCCCGAGTAAGTTTTACGAGATCTCGCAAAAGTTCGTCTTAATTTTTTCTAGTTTCGAGCAATACAAAATTTTTTATTTATTTTATCAACTTTCCTTCTGACGATGCTGTCTGTGTTGAGCGCTCAGTGGATCTGCGTTCGACTACTCCGCCTAGGCTGCATTGTCGACTGCAGATCCACTGAGCGTAGCACAAGCTAGCAAGACAGAAGCTAAGCTCGTTGCAACATGGCAGCTGCCTCAACGCTACCCAAAATAGAACCTCCCCCACCCTCATTCAGATCTGGTGTTTGGAGCTATTTTGGTCTTCATGTGAAGTATGACCCTGAAGGTAAGCGTGTCATGGACAAAAGTAAAACAGTATGTCGGATGTGCCATGCAGTGCTCAATTACATTGGTGGGAACTAGTGCGTTAGCGCAGTTAGCTTGTTAACGTGTTGATGCCCCACGCATGGGGCATCCTCGTTAACGGAGATTTGCCGTGTTATGGCGTTAATGTCATTTCAACGAGATTAACGCTGACAGCACTAGTGGGAACACAACGAATATGACTGCACGTTTATGCCGACATCATCCTAGTGCAAAGACAAAAACAACAAGCATGCTACAAACTTTACCCGAGTCATTTAGACAGCCGTTAGCACATGATTCTCCTTATGGGGACCTGATATGTTTAATATGCTGCCGAGAATATAGCCCAGAAGAAGCGTATAGTATAGCTTTTATTTTGGAAAGAGCCATTTCTCTGTAATAAACTCTCTTTTCCAAAGATGGGTGATTTCTCGATCAGATAGATTTATTTTTATTTATTATTTTGTTGTTTCAGCAACATTACATTTAAAAACTGTACTTTTGAGTTAAAATATATATTTATAATTTTAATAAATGACAAATTAAAAAGGCATGAACATTTTTTTGTATCGAAAATATATCGAACCTTGTCACCAAAGTATCGAACCGAGCCAAACTGTGAATTTTGTGTATCTTTGCACCCCTAGTTTTTAGATGTACTTTTCTATCATGCAGGCTGATATATACCGTCCATCTTATTCTAGCGTTCGCTACCGAGATCACCATTTAACGTCACATTCACACCTTCCACCATATGAGAATCTCCAGGCTTCACTTGCACAAATCTAGAGATCGGTCGGTGATTCTCCAGTTGTTAAGGAAAATGTGTATTCCCCAACCGGTTGGTGAGCGATTTCTGGATGAAATCAGTTGCAGAAGTGGTTGCTAGCAAATTGCTGCGGTCTACTGTAGTTTGCTTGGAAGATGCAGACTTGTCTGCAAACACTTGGCAACTACTCACTGAACAGTGGAGGACCTCGGTAAAAGTGTGGCACAACTTTTACTTTGAAGGAAATTTGTTTTCCAATTCTGTTCAGTTCAGTTTTTTTGACTTTCTAAAGTATGGTAGTAAGTATTAAATGGTCTTTAATAAGAAGAAGTATGAAGAAAAGTGTACTTAAACTGTTTCCTGGTGCTTTCAGCTATCAGGTGATTTTACTTGTTTACATCTGCACTCTAAATTCTTCTGAATGCAACCTAATCCTGTACTTCCTATATATTTTCTCTCTCCTCCTTTGCTCATTCAGCTCTCTTACTTTTAATCTGTTTTTGTTTTTTATTTTCTGTTTTATTTCCTGCTTTTCTCCTGGCTCAAAAAAAGCTCCTTTTTATCCATCCAGAGGGACTAATAAGCTGTGTTATGAGTCAGTGTAAGGAAAGAGGCAGATGGGATTCAGCTTGTAGGCCCGATAAGGATTTTTTTTAGCTTGGCTGTTTCTCATCACTCCCTGTCTTTGGTGTTTAAGCGGAACAGATAGGGTCTAGCGTTATAGATGTAGTGGTAAAAATCACCCAGATTGAGATAGTGAAAGTTCGCTGTGAATCAAGATGTCAGAGTTGTTGCTTACTGAAGGGTGACTTTCTCTAACTCATAAAAGCAACAACAGCCTTATTGCTCATTAATTAATCAACGTCTTGGTCACAGAAGCAAATATTAAATCTGATTTTATCTCATTTCTTTCGACAGTTGTTGAACATATTGCTCATCTGCATTCTGCACAGTTCCCAATGTGTCACTGTGCTCATTATTCGGTGAGACACAAGGCGATTTGGTGACAAGATAGACAACATTTTGTAGTCAGTATGAGCGGCTTTCCATCAGCCATCATTATTTTTAATTACTTTCTTTCCCCGCCTCTCCCACTGAGGTTGTTTTGTACCACAGGAAGCATGCTCTGACAGGAAGCAGACTCAAAGATGTGAACCTGTGAAGTCTCAAATTAAACTAAATCAAGGTTGAAAATAGATCACAGGACATAGCACAGAAGGTTGCGGCTCTAATGGAGAGAGTCATGTTTTGGCAAACACGAGCAAGCGTTAAAAACTACGTGTTTTGAAATAATTTTTATCCTGCCTTTGTATGTACTGTTGCATGAACAAAATGTTGTATTTCTAATTGTACTTAAATGTCACATGTCCAAACTAAAAAGTTGGCTTGTTCGCAATGAATTATGTTATATTTTGAAGTCTCTAGTTTGGTATTTTGGCTATCAAAACCAACTGGATGCGGAGTGCACAGCTTTCCCTAGCAACACATGGTTACCAGACCTCTAGGTCTGTGTATCTGTGGCCTAAGCAAAATGGGAAGGCATAGTATTACTTGGGTAACTCCAAACTGCTCAAAAAATAAGGGAATAGTCAATCATCACAGTATAACACAAAAGCAAGTTTAACTTCAGGAATGCCAAACTAGCCAATTTGGGCAAGAAAAGGATGACTCCCAAAAAGGAACTGGTTTTGTAGGTGGTGACCACAGATTATTGCGCTCTGTCCCACCTGTTTTTTCGCCAGTTTTGCTATTAGATAGTTTCCTTGTCACTTTGGTAGTGTAGCCTCAGCGGGGAAATAAAATAAGTAGAAAGTAATGCTTGGCATTTTGTGATATAAATAGATAATTTAGACATTTCTTTTTAGTTGATAAGAGATCAATGAATTGGGTGATCTGTTATGACACAACCTAGCCAATCAGCAGAGAGCTTCCAGCGACCCTTGCTGTTGACCTTGATCACGTTACTTCCTGCAGTCGCAGTTGTGTTCGGGTTTGTACAGTGCTTTGGGTTCGTTAAATAGTGTGTTATTTAAGCACATTTGCTATATAGGTTACTGTTCAGAACTTTGCCCTGCTTAGCAGTGAGTAAGAAAAAGTCACTCAGCTAACTTCGTGATTCATGTTTTAAATAGTGTGACGGAAAAGTTCCCTAGCCGCTAAGCTAACAGCTGCCTCATGCTCAGGTGTGTGTGTGGGGGGGCAAAATGACTAGGAACCGTGATTGTTTTACTTTAAAAGTAAATTAGTTCTATGAATCCAACATGCTTTAGTTAAGTTGGAGTATGTGTGTTCTTAGTGTTCCTAGTGCTTACGATTTTGGTCTGGTTATAGCTTCTTTACTCTTCTTAATTATTTGTAATGAGGGTTAAAGTAGCATGTTATGGATACCTTAGACATTATTAA